AAAAAAAAAGTTTTCTGTTTATATTAATTAAAAAATTTATAGAAAACAAAGCGAAGCCGTTTTGGTATGGTTTTGCTGACTAGCTTGGTATAGCCCTCCGATGTGGGCAAAGCCTTAACCGGTAAAAGCAGACCGCTTTTGGACACCTCTTGAGGAAGTCGAGAGATGTCAGATCTGCAACTTAGATAGTTTAATATATGTACACATATATACTTTGATCTAATAAAAGATACTAGCGAGGCTGCCGAGAATTATAAAAAAAAAAAAAAATTTATTTAATTAGTTGGTTTGTTTAATAATTATCTATTTGTTTTTACAAAATGTATCATGTAAATATAAAACTATTTTGTGATTGGTCAACTACCTTATGATCAGATCTGTATATTTTCAAAAAATAAGAAAATCCTTTATATTTTATTTTAAATAAATGATATATATCAATTATTATTATTTTTTTTTAATATCAAAGTAATCTTATGATCAAAAGCTTTATTGATTTGTATGCTAAGCTAATCTTAGTTAACTACTACTCATTTAGTACATGATTTTGAAGAATACAACTAACCATACATATAATTTTGGTTGTTTATTTAAGTAATTCATCTGAAAATTTTATATTAGATATTATATCTATAATCTGATTACCTATTTAAACTCTCTGTGCTACCATGTTCTTGTGAGACTCTAATTCTTACTAGGTACAACCAATCTAAAATATTAACTTGTGATTATCCTCAAGGTAAACTTACTAAAACTTTCCATATTTACAGTCTGACTAACCTAAATTTTTCAATAATTTATACCAAATCCAAAAACAAATACTTCTTATCCTTATAAAGTTTACTCAAATCTCAATATATACTTAACGAACTATGAACCTACTTCTGATTCTCCAAACTTCTAATTCAGATAATCTAAAGAACTGTAACCTGCTTTTAATCTTCACAGCTAAGTTTTTTTCTTCTGGTTACTCTTCTAATGACCTGGTTGGTAAAGTACCTTGCCAAACACTTTGGTCCTATTTGGTTCCCCTTTTTCTAGATAATAATCCATTACATAGTATGATGTATATCAATTATTAGGGCAGTGTTATTTATCACCTGATTATTTTTTATCAGAGGCTTACTTCCTTCTCCCCTCTTAATATAAAAAAAATCAGGTTCTTATATATAATTTTAACTTTTTTTACCCCCTCCCCTCTAAAAAATCACCTGATTTTTGTCATGTCCCTTATCATATAAACACAATAAAAATCATAAAAAAATTGGTCAACTTCATGACAATGATGTTTCTTAACCTTATTTTTAACCACCCTTCAAATTTTATAAGATTCTTCAAATGCAAAAAAATAAAAAAAAATGTTTCCTAGAAATTAAACCGATGGTTCCTTTATTATTAAATATGCCTAGAAAACAAAATTTGCCTAAATTTTACATGGATAATTATATTCATAACACTGTGTTATATAACACCTTATGCTATATCTCAAAAACGTACTAAGTAAACAGGATCAGGTACTCTAAGTAAAAATGTTCGGGACCCCAAAAACCTCACGAGAGCTGAAATTGGAACCTATCGGGACCTTACGTCTAATATATATTGTATAATAAAAAACCTCTATTTATTTTAAAATTGGACCCTAACCCTAAGTAAAACATATAGGGTGTTATATAACATGGGTGTTATGAATATAATATTTCATTTTACATATAAAATTTAGGTGCGTTGATCATTTGACCTCGTATTAAAAATTTTATACAAATGATCTGCGTGACAAATCGGGTGACTGATATGCTATAAAAATATTATGTCTCGGCCATATTACAAACATTGCCGTCTCAGATCGCACATATGAATTTACTCGTCAATTAAGCGACTTTAATAATCATTTGCCTGAATTCTATTCCTCGTTAACTGCGTAACCACGATTTGATTTTACAAATACAAATAAAAAGAAATGTAGAATATAATATCAATATATGCTAAATAAAATTGATTATTAATTGTTGGGGATAATGCTAGAATTTGAGGGTCTTAATCTGAAAATACAAATCTTTCATTAATAATTCTAGCCTAAATCCTAAGAAAAAAAACTGAAAATACGCACCGACATTAGTTACAGTAGGGTAACTGTCATGGCTAAAGTGTAAACCAAAGTGTAAAATGTCTTAATAAGCACGCGTGCAATTTGATTTATTTATCCATAATACTCTCTTAAAAACCAAGAGATGCTTTCTGACAATGCTAATATAAAATTTTCTCTCTTTTGCTTATTTCCAATTCGTAAAGTTCTCGGTATTCTAAAAATAACAACAAATAGTTATTCGTTTATTCTTATAGATAAAGATTATTGGAAACAAGAACATACTCAATTTGTATAGCATCAATAATTTGTTCTGCGTGTCGTGAGCCATATTTTTGTACACAGTAACCACCACGAAAATATTTTTCATCCTCAAGTGGATGCTGATGAACATGCGATGGAACAGCATCATAGCCATGGGACTGTAAACGACCACCAAGTGAAGTAGTTTTACCATAAAGTAAGTCAGTAAATTGGAGATTGCTCGATTTTCTAGTATATAGAGCACGAATGCTTGATCCCGACTGAATCTCTGGGTTCGCATTTATTTGTGAAGGTGAAAGTGAAAGTATTTCAGCCGAAAGGGCATAACCTAACTCAATAAAATGTTCTGGGTGAGAGTGGCCTATAAAAAAAAAAAAAAAAAAAAAAAGGATAAAAATTGGTAAATTGTTGTAAAGTAATATTTTAAAATATAAATGTACCATGAATATCGACTAAAAGTCCACGACCAAAATTTACTTCAACATCTTTAATAGCAGTCCGCATAAAATTATGATAATCGTTCCAAGCAATCGATGTTGTGGAATCTTTTCCTTCAACCCCTTCTTTTATTGGTCTATTGACATCAATTTTACTTCTCCCAAGATGATTAATAATCAAATAAGGTCTCTTTCCTTTAAATTGTAACATAATCTTGTCTGCAACCTTTCTACCAATCTCTTGAGTATTAATATCATTGGATTTTACAACATTTGGATGATTTTGTTTTCTATCAGGTATTTCAGAAGGAAACAAATGACCACCGTGTGGAATCGAAATAATTAAAGGTAAAGTTCCCGGAATATATTCACTATAATTCATGGTTCCGAATATTGGTTTGCTGTAAGTTTCCTTAAATTCTTCGTATACTATTGGAGCTGTTGGAGTGTCATCGTTTGATACATTGTTAAGAAACCCGAACGTTAAGATATAAATAAGGGTAAGTAAAATTAAGATCCATAAAGTAATGAACTTAGGATTACGTATTAATGCTATATTTGGCTTCATTATAAGTTATATTACAGTATTGGTAACTAGATAGTCTTCTAAATTTGCTTCATAATTTTTTTTGTACGTATTTTTGCTCTCGCAGTAAAGAAACATTGTGTATGTTTATAGAAGAACTTTCTCATGATTGGTTAAATTTGATCATGATCGACAAAATAAAAAGAATTCTGAGAACAATTCTGTGGTAGTTGCCTCTGATACATACACATGGTGGTATGTAAAAAATACTTGAGAATGAAGAGAAATTCTATAGGTGATCGAATGCTTGGTTCTCTATGCGTTTGTACGGATAATGTGAGTATTACAGATTCGGTCGAATTTAAATCGAATCCGAATGAAAGCGAATTTAAATCCGAAGGTCGAATTTGGTTACACGTGCCGCGAAGTGGCACGTGCAGCCTGGTTGAACCCAAAACCGATCCTGCCAAAACCGATAACCTGCCATAAACGATTAAAATTTGATCCACCATGTCGGTTCCATAAGTAATATCCGATAACCTGTCTGATATCCGATAGCCAATTTATTTAAGTTTCCGATATGGTTGATTTTAGTCGCATGGGACTCGGCCAATCAAATCAATTATGGGTATATATGTGGCGCAGATTTTCTGATTTGTCACAAGTCGTTTATTTCTCAAAACCTGAATAAAAAACCTAACTAAAAGTTTTCCTTGAGCAAATATGCTATATATTCTGCTAGCAGCTAACCCAAATATAAACATTAATACTAACCCTAACTAGGAATGGAAAATGTTTTAAAACGTAATGTTAAAAAACATGATTGTTTGATTTAAAAATGTTTTTAAATGATTTAATACATTCTGAAGTAATCATGATACGTAATACAGGACAGTATTTTATTTATTTAACTAATTTCGTCAAAATACAACTTTATCGTTATCTCTTTTTATTTATTATACTCAAGCATCCGGTTCAAATGAAGATAAAATAACATTAACCAAATTAGACGTGGATCGTAAATTAGATATATATATATTTACAAATAGTTAAAACAGAAATTAAGCAATCATGCATTTCTTGTAATTATATAATAAACGAAAGTTTATAAAGTGAATATTTTTTCTTTAAAAGTCATCTCTATGAAGCATGGTGAATCAGCATTTTAGCCCTGAATTTTAAATTTTAGTCTCAGCTCCAATGTTTTAAAAAGTTTTTAAAAATGTTTTAAAACATCTTAAAAACTGTTTAAACCGTTTTTTTTCCATCCCTAACCCTAACATCAATTATTGCACGCACCAATTCTGCAATCGATTGGTTGATTTCCGACCATTTGATCATGTGATATTTTCAAATCCGATAACCTCCCAAAACCGATACAAAACCTGTCCACCATGCATACCGGTTTTGAGAGGGCCGACAGTATTTTTAGAAATTGGATCCCTATTTGCATAGTTATATAAAGTCCGATATGTAATCATCGGAACTTGTATTTAAAACCCAAATCTATTAGGAGTAGATATAAATAGGGGATTTGAATAAGGATCAAATCAACCGATTAAATTATGGCAAACAAAGATTTTTATATATCAAAACGTATACAAATAATCAGACCATAAATGTCACCTGATTTAAATCAATAAACCCCATTTTTTTGCCATCCCTATTGATGTTATCCGGTAATTCATAATCATTATTCACAAGTCGTCATTTGTTGAGTTTTAATTCGAATAAACATGATCATTGACTGCTTCATATTCAATAACTTCAGTTATTATCTGCTACACATTCAATAACTGTATATTGTTTGAATAAATTATTCAATAAGGTTTATTTATGCTACTCGCTAATAACTATTAAGAGTCATGGTTATTATCAAAGTTTTCATCTTGTGCAATAATCTATTAACCAAATCGCGTTTTAACTCTGTCAAATCTAATGAAGTCATTATCCATCCATATATTCAATAATAAATAAAACAAGTTATAAACATTGTCCTATTTAGATTGTCTGAGCCCTTTCTAGTTTTCTAAACCCTTCAATTACTTGCTCATAAACCGTAAAGATAATACCTCCAGAAAACTATTCATAAATATTAAATTCATGCATTAGTTTTAATAAAAAGGTGATGATAAAAAAAAAAAATAAGTAATTGTAATGCACTGACCAGCAGTCTTCCCAATCTTGGAGTTGCCCCTTTCCAAAATGCAGCAACACCTTCTTCAGTTAGAACCTTCCACCCACAATGAAAACTATTTTTATATAATTCTTTTGCTTTTAATCCTTGCATCTTTGTCTTTACAACGTCGAGAGGCATTGTTGAATATACCGTCACTATACCAGCAATCGATCCTATTCCAAATGTTACTGCCCATGGAAGCGGTTGTCCTGGTGATGAATATTTTTGGAATTCTTGTTTCAAAGTAGAATATGTAGAAAAACGTACTGCTTGATTCGCCCCTTGACGCATCATTACTGGAAATAGACCGCGATATATTCCACCTATCCCCTCTACCGCTACGATGCTACGGATACCTGTGAAAAAAAGAATTTTTAATTGTATAATACACGTAAATTAATGAATATTTACAATGCTTGATCTACCATGTATTAGCCCTTTATATCGTGGTTCAGGCCGATTTGCATCATGAATCAGTTTAGTTCTATAAAAAAAATCATCAATATTTAATTATCATTATGCGAATCACAATAATTAACTCAATTCATTTGATATTTAAACATACTTTATAGTTTCTGTTGGAGTCACCACAAGAATAGCTTCCACCATTCCTGCGCCTAATCCAGCTATTAACAAACATTTCGTTAGTACCTGATGATGAAAATTTTCAACCACTTTCGTTTACAATATACCTAACATAGATTTAGGTCCTGAAACTTGTCCATTCTTATCCTCTAATAGAGATTTAATCTGGTCGTAGGTAAAAAACCGAACACCAGCTTTTGCAGCAGTGCCTATTACTAATGCCGATAATCCTCGATATAGTGCAAACACTCCTTGCGTTCGAATTGTTTGCACTGCACAGTCAATTGGGCCTTTAAATTTCTATAATACAAGATGATAACGACAAATTATGATATGACGTGCTATTTTATTTTGATATAATGAAAATTACATACTTTTCCGGTGGAAGAAGCATCCTGTAGTTGTAACTGTGTTTTTACATACTCAGTTGGGTACTGCACGAGAGAAGGCAAATTAAATTAAAAAAATGCATTACACAAAACACGTCACCATAGCATATTAAGGACTCACTGTAATGGTGGCTTCAACACCACCGGCAATTAATCCAGCGCATAGAGAATATAAAACTTTATCTTTCTAAGTAAAAAAAAAATAAAATAAAATAACTGTTGCAAAGTTCACGTATTCAAGGTCTTTATTTTTGTTTCGTTACCTTTTTTTGCTGGGACATTAATTTAATTTAAAAAAAAAAAAAAAAAAATGTAACCCACTTAAAATGCCTCGAAAAAGCTACTTTTAAGCCACTAGAGATAATTGGCTGCCTCATTAACTAAAGTTCATTAGTGTTCCACAAAAGATTCGAATCCGTGCTTCCAAAGAAGGCAATTTAATAAAAAATGTGCGTGCACTTTCCCGACAAACAAAATCCTGACAAAAATTGACCGGAACTAACCTAATGCGGGCTAACTTGTCGGAAAAATGATAGGATCCCGCTGTAGATCACAATTTCTATTGGACGCCAATAGCACCTATCCACTTGACCAATATCGATAAATTTTTTTTAATTTTAATTCTGCTGTTCTATAGAATTGAGATAAAAAAATTTTTATCAAAATTGGTCGGATAGGTGCTAAGATATCTTCGATCAAAGTTTTAAAAAAACATTGCTGCGGCTTCTATTCCAGAAACTTTGATCGAATGTATCTCGGCACCCACCTGACTAATTTTATAAATTTTTTTCTAATTCTACAGGACTGTAGGATTAAAATAAAGAAAATTTATTGAAATTGGTCAGATAGGCGCTAAGATATCTTCAATTAAAGTTTAAAAAAAACTGTGCTGAAAACTGTGCTGCTGCTTCTAACATTCTTACGGGGGTGACAAAAATATTTCCACACTTAAGGACTTGGCTTATAACTCAAAAACTTACTAATTAACCTATGTTCTTGAATTAACTATATGAAACCTTATCTCTTGATGATTATGTCATATCATTTTTAGATCATATACTTGCATAATTAGCAAGTTATT